TTAACATAGACCACCTGATAAGAACTTTTATAGTGTTGTCTATGCGGGAACGAAAGCCGTGTAGTCTTTCAACCACTTCATCTTTGTACTTTCCCGTAAAGAAGCATGCGATATCAAGGAAAATACTTTTCTCCTCTTCGTCTAATTCATCAAAACTTATTTTAAGCCTCTCCAGAATTTTTCCATCAAAATTATCTCTTAGTTTACCCAATTTACTTCTCCATTCATCTTGATCTGCTTTATGCAAAGATGATCCCCAGAGTTTAAGAGCTAATGGGAGGCCATTGGCATAACTCACAAAACATTTAGACAGAGCTACATAGCCTTTATCTGGATAATCTCTTCCAAAGGCTTTCAAGCTAAAAAGTTGAAGAGCGTCTTGGTCATTTAACTTCTGCAGCTCAATTGTTTTGTCCACACCATGTCTACTTAGCAATCGTTCACTTCTTGCTGTAATAATGACTCTGCTCCCTGGAGCAAACCCATCTTGGTTCCCACATAACTCTTCTAATTGACTATTATCATCCACATCATCAAGAACAAGAAGAACTTTTTTGTGAGATAAGAGCCTTTTGATTGTGCCTTGTATATCAAAGGCCCAGTCTTCTATATTTCTGTTCATAAGGCTCTTGCAAAGTTCTCTTTTTAGATTTTTTAGACCATCTGTTTGAGAAACCTTATCTCTAACTCTGTCAAGAAAGCAGCTGCCTTCAAATTTATGAAGAATCCTCGCACAAGTTCTCTCAGCAATAGTTGTCTTACCTATCCCACTCAACCCCCATATCCCTATAAAACGTACATCATCTGACTCTGTATCTAGAAGCCTATGTAGATGCTCCAATGTTGAATCAATTCCAACCAGCTTTTCTTCAGGCGCCGACCATGTAGGATGTACTAAGGTACGCACCTTGTCAACAATTTCTTTGATGAGCTCTGGTTCATATCTTCAAGAAGAAAAGACAATAATCAAGGCCAAGCATGCCTGAACTAATGAGTCGTGAATAGACAAAAAAGGGATAAAAATACACTTTCCATTTTGTTTCTAGTAGCCGAGTGGTAGCTCCACCTGCATTTTTATAAGAAGTAGTTTTGGATTGGACCCAGGGCTACCCATTTCATCGTAGCCATTCAACCCAAAAACTAAGAACTCCTTATTAATGAAACAATAATGCTAAAAACACCAACTTTGAGATACCAATGGATACAACAATTTTTACTTGCTATGAATAAATAAAGTTCACAGAAGACACAGAATGAAAACAAATAAATCACTTTCACATCAGTTATTGTCAAAAGTTAGTGTAATAAGTTGTCCGTAATATCATAACTCTGTCAAGAAAGCATCTGACTTCAAATTACGAACTCCTCACAGTGGACCAAAAAACATTTTCAATAATATTTCCCTGTTACGATGCATATTTTGGAGTAAGCCCAAGAAACTTCATAAAGAATTAATAAGTGATAAAAATTATTTAAAAAGTGTATTCTATGACCAACTAACATTGGATCGAGTGACAATTTCCCTTCCCAACGTTCCCAAGTCTGAATCCTCTTCCCAGTAATTATTTATCCTAAAAGAAACTTAGCCTTCCCATATAAATTCTTTTTATGAATGGGTGATATGAATGTTTTCATGAAATATTTTTTGTGTCCGTTTTTCATGCATCAGGTCTAGGCAAATTAAATGTACTCACTACAAAAAATATATCAAAATAGAACCGAATTATAAGTCACTTTCTCTCCTACAAAGGTGATATATAAAATATAAATTCACAATTATTATATGTGCTCCAATAAGTGGGTCGAGGGGAAAAAGAAGTAATGCTAACCTATCCTTTGTAGTCCACCCTTTGATTTTAGACACTGTCCCTAAAGCATCTCTCCACCTCTTCACCTTGTTGATGTTATCCTTAAACCTTTCTTCAAGTTTAGTGAAGGTTTGTACAAAACTTCCTAATTGCTTTCCAACATCGTCAGGTTCCACAGAATAGAAAATTGGTAAAATTGTCCCTCTGGCTTTCATGCATTCAAGAATCTTTAAAAGTTCATTTAGGCACCACGTTGAAGAAGCATAATCTTGAGAGATCACAATGATGGCAAATCTTGACTGTGCAATTGCTGAGAAGAGTTCAGAAATTGGTTTTCCTACTTGAAGTTCTGTGTCATCCAAGAATGTCTCTGTAATTCCTTGATCCAGAAGTTCTTTATATAAATGGGCCGTAAAGTTCTTGCGTGTTTCACCTCTAAAACTCAGAAAGACATCATATTTCCATAAAGAAGCTGGAGGAATAGATGAGGTGCTCAACGCCATTTCAGACTGGTTTCTCGTTTGTGCCAACTTACAGGAGAACGGAGATGAGGTTAATTTCACAAAGCAATCTGCTGGAGAGAGGAGACAGTGCAGATAAGGCAATTAATCAATTTGGTAAGTATTTCAACCTTATAAATTAATACTTACAATTACCAGAAAAAAACAAAACAAAAAAAAAAGAAGATCAATACATTTTCCTATTGGTGATCTACTTTTTCAATTTTTTGGTCGGTTGCTGATTTACTTATTTGAACTCATGTACAAAATGACATACACATACTATACTAAACTATCCCAGAGGTATCATAAATTGACCTGACTAATCTTTTATTCAGAGCTGCTCACACGAGGGACTAATTTTGAGGGACTGTGAGCGCCAAGTTCATTACCAGCCATCAAATTTAATCCAACATCTGAAAGCTTTAGACATTTAAAATATTCATTTGATGGTGAAGTGCAGTTATCCTGCACCTGAGGTCATGTCTTCGAATCCCCCTTCTTCCAATATCACTGGTATCCAAAAAAATCTAAAGAATCAATTTTTTAAATCTTGATTATTATCTTCCCCTGATTTTCCTCCCCTCCATTGCCTACAAAGCCTCCCCATATTCACTTGAGGATCGAGGAAACCCTCAAGTCCAACAAAAACATCAAATCTGCGACTACAGAGGTATCATAAATTGAGCTGACTAATCTTTTATTTTGCCTCAATATTAACATATATCAAGTATTCAAAAGTACAACTTTTGTAATTCCCTTCAGCATTTCCCAAATTTTTGAAGCCAAATTAAAATTAGCCAAACAACATCATCAGCAACAACATGACTAAGAGAAAGCAGATCATATCAAAATGGGGAAAATAAAAAATGTAAAGAAATCACGAGATGGTGTTAGAGAAATTAGTAGTTGGAGCCTGACCTGGGTGTATGTTAAAAGCAAGAACTCACAGCAAGAAGTGAGAAGGAGCTACAGGCTGAAGTTCCACCAGAGAAGCACAGCAGCATGTCTTAATACAATTCGGGTTTATGGTGAAGTCAATGGATACGGGACCACTAGTGGGGCCTGGGGCTCGTCTGAACGTTCGATTCGAGACACCGTAGCTTATCCAACGGACAAAGCATCTCTCTGACTTTGAATCCAACAACCAGCAATCATCTTTTATTTTTTTTATTTTTTTAACGGACCAGCAATCACCTTTGCCCCATTTAATTTGACTTATTTACAGCCAGTCCCGTTCTCCTTCCTGGACCCCATGGTACAAGAATTACAAGGGTGGATAAAAAAACATATTTAAAAATCCATATAAAGCGAAGGAATTTACCTTGACACATAGGTATTTTCTTGCTCTAAAAGAGTAGGTATATTGAGTCCCACCTACATTTTATATAAAAATATCACCTCATATCTAGGCCGGCATTTTCTACCGCATTTTCACTGCAATGAAACTGTGATATTGGGATTGTGGGAGCGATTTTCATCCCCAAAGAATATTCGTCTGAAGATTCCGTTTTCCTTTTCGCTTCTCTTTTCTCCCTGCAAAATAATATGGAGCGCAAAGACTACACCCAGGGAGTGTTGGCCAAAGGCCCTGTGGGAACCTAATTAATTCGTAAACCTAGGTCAGATAATTCCTTCCATTTGGGGATTATTTGACCTAATTAGGAATTATTCAATTTAATTGGGGATTACCCAATTAAATAGAAGGTTACCTAATTAGGTTAAGGATTGATTTGATTCCTACGGATATTCTCAATTAATGGAGGAGTTACCTAATTAAATTAGGTATTGATTTGATTACTACCCTGATTAGGGATTTGATTTAAATCAGATAAATCAAATCCCTAATTAGTCAAATCTCGCCAAATTGGGGAGGAATAATTCCCTTCCATCTACGGAATTATTCCTCTGAAACCCTAGCTCCCGAGACCTCTATAAAAGGATGGCCACACACAAAGGTTGAGGTACGTCTAAAACTACTACCAAATCTCTGCAGAAATTATTTCTCACAAACCCTAGCCGCCACTCTCTCTCTCTCCCTTTTACACAAGGCTCCGGCCACCCGGTTCTCACCACACATACATATTCCCGTACCCTATTTTAGCTATCGTTTCTCTATAGATCGATTGAACTGACTTAGGCATTGGATGACCTTTGGCCAACACCCCCCGGGTGTGGTCCTCTTATTGCTATTCATTTTGCAAGGAGAAGAGAAGCGGAGAAGACGAAGGAATCTGTCAACCGAATATTCCCGTGGGAGGAAATTTGCTCCCACAAATTGGTGCTTTCATTGAGAGTTGGAGATATACTCAAAGCGTGCTCCAAACCTATTTTCCAATCCACCAAAGCCTTCCAAGCAACCATTATTGGAAGCAAGATGACGAGAGGCAAAACCGCCGCAATGGCTCAATCCGCGACGGCCCAAAGCCACTCCACCTATGATCCCGCGATCGATATGGTGGTGCCACCACCTCTCACCACCGCGCCGGCCACTGTAGTCGCCCAAGGCCCCTTGGCCGGATCTAGCCACCCTCGTGGCTCCATCGCCGAGCATGGTGGAACCTCCCATTAAGGTGGGCTCGTTACCACCGCCGACCTAGGCCCAATCTTGGAGCAACTTCAAGCGTTCCCTCCATTGCCTCCGCGCTCGACGCACGTTCCCGCGTACGCCTCCCATGAAACCCTAGCCCGTATGCAGTTGGGCTCCACACACTTCTCTCCTCCCGATCCACGAAGTCAAGCAGACCTTATTCAGAGAGTTGACCAGCTAGCTCAGAAAGTTGACCAGCTCCTCAACCATATATACTTAGCTCAAAACCTTAGCCTTGGACCACTGGGCGAAGAGAGAAGGATGGACGACCACGCCAACAGGCAGATCGACGAGTGCCGAGCAGGTCGAGCAGACATGAGCAGACAAGGAGAGGGACAACAACGTGATCAGCTCGCCAACATGTCACAAGCATCCTCAAGCCACACTCAGAGCAATGTGCGAGGAAGGCTGGGCCCACGACTCGACATCCGCGACCGCCTAGGCCCGCAGAGGAATGCTCCTCAAAGGCTAGGCTCCCAGAGAGGTCAACCTGACAACCTTCACGGTGAGGATGACGAGGAAAAGCGCTCCGCTGCTCACTCTCGAAGAACCAATTCTCGTCGACAAGCTACAGAGGATCACTCGCAAGCGCAGTCCACCAACACGCAGCCTAGGCAACGCAGCCGAGAAGCTCGAACCTTGCGAGTCAACGAGGAGGTCAATCAGCGTCGCCCGAATAGCGAAGGTTGCCAACGTGTCCAACCAGCAATGCGTGCGGAAGACGTTAAGAAGCTTGTGAACGACCAACTTCGAGACTTGAAAGCTGGCGGGAACTTCGAAGATGCCCTACGCAAGGAGATGGACCAAGCGAACTCCACGCCTTTCACTGTCGAAATTGAGCATGCGGCTCCCCCGAAGCGGTTCTCGACGCCTTCGTTTACGCCCTTCAAGGGAGACTCCGATACCGAGAGCCACCTAAAACACTTCAAAAGTGTCATGATCCTCCACAAGGACGACGACGCGTTGATGTGCAAGGTGTTTGTGATGACCCTGCGAGGAGCAGCTCAGGATTGGTTCCACACCCTACCGTCCGAGTTGATCAGCAGCTTCAAGGAGCTGGCATACGTCTTCGCCAAAGCATACACATCTTACCGGACAATCAAGAAGAACCCCGACCACCTGTTCAACCTACGCAAGAAGTCCGACGAATCCCTTCGAGACTACATCAAGAGATTCAAAGCAGAAAAGGCCAACATCGTAGGATGTAACGACCAGATCGCATCCTCTGCCTTCAAGAGAGGCTTGCCAACTGAGTGTGACCTGTATCGCGAGCTGACCATCTCTCCCTGCCAAACACTGGAAGAAGTCTTCGCGACAGCAGAACGCTACGCACTTTGGGACGATGACCGGATCGCCGCAAAGAAGGTTGCCAAGCAAGCCGATCAATCGGTTGAGCAGGCAAGCCAAAGGAACGGTAGGATAAATGACAAGGATGGAGGCAAGCATGGATTACAGCCTCTATGTTATCTTTTTAAAAACAAATTTGGGAGAGAAAGCTGGAGGTGACTCATTTGTTGGTACATGGTTTTCAAATTGGAAGAAAAAGGAAAGATTTCAAGTTCATGTTGGAGGTCCCAACAGTTCCCATAACCAAGCTCTGAAAAAATGTCAAGCCTTAATGAATGAAAAACAACATATTGAAAATGTTTTCCATAAGCACTCACATCAATCTCGAATTGACTACAGAATAATTGAATGCATCTATTGATTGTATTAGATTTCTTCTACGACAAGGTCTTGCCTTTCGTGGCCACAATGAGTTTGAGGATTCAAGCAACCAAGGTAATTTTCTTGAGCTTTTGCAATTTCTTGTTGATCACAATGAGGAAGTTAGAGCTGTTGCTTTGAAAAATGCTCCTAAAAACCTCAAAGTAACTTCACCTAAGATTCAGAAAGACATTGTAAATGCTGCAGCAACCACCAAGGAGCCACCTCAGAAGGTCATAAGGATTAACACAATCCTAGCCGACTCCGAGGAATCTGGGCTGACCAGCAAAGAAAAGAAGAGGAAGATCAAACAGGCCATTGTGGTCTCCCAAGTCTCGATCGACCTTCCACCGGCGGAGGACGACCCTGTGATCGGCTTCCAGAAGAAAGATCTGATCAGCCTCGATATGCCACACAACGACGCCCTTGTCGTCAGCATTCAAATCGCTTAGGCCACGGTCGACCGAATCCATGCAGACGAGGGCAGCACAGCCAATATCCTGCAACTAGCAGTCATTCAGCAGATGGGCTTGGAGACAAAGATCAACAAATCAGCCAGGTCGCTGACTGGCTTCAATGGCACAACGACGGTTACTGTGGGCACGATAGATCTTGACGTCTACTCCCCACCTGTAATCAGCCCGCAAACATTCATGGTCATTGATGAAGTCTCACCCTACAATGGTGTACAGGGAAGACCATGGATTGGCAAGATCAACGCCGCCACCTCTGCTCCACATCAAAAATCTTGCCGAGGCATTTAGCCTACTCCAAAAATACAACATGAAGTTGAACCCGAGCAAATGCACATTTGGAGTCTCGTCTTGCCGATTCCTGGGATACTCAGTCACTCAAAGAGGAATTGAGGCACAAATCAAGGCTATATTCAACATGAAGTCACCTACCACAACAAAGGAGATACAAAGTCTAACGGGTAGAGCAGCAGCTCTCAACCGATTCCTCTCGAGATCTACCGACAAGTGCAGGCCATTCTTCAAAGCATTGAAGAAAGGACACAAGGACAAGTGGGATGACAAGTGCGAAGTAGCTTTTCAAAACTTGAAAACCTACCTCACTTCACCTCCCCTACTCTCAAAACCGATACCAGGCGAAGACTTGTACATCTACCTAACGGTGTCTGACTCAGCTGTCAGCTTAGCTCTCATCCGAGAAGAGCTGGGGGCACAACATCCGGTATTCTACACTTCAAAAGCTCTCCTCGGCGCAGAGACTCGCTATCTGAAAATGGGGAAGCTCATTTTTTCGCTTGCACGGAATTCATCGCAAGGGGGGCCGTCCAGCAAATCAAGGATCGTGACGTAACTGCCAACGAGCCTCCACGAAAAAAGTCATACGGATCAGCACGATCCTAGCCGACTCTAAGAGCCCGAGCTGACCACCGGGGAGCAGCAGAGAAGGATCAAGCAAGCGACTTTTGTCTCCCAAGCTGTCACCAGCTACCTAGTCATGGAAAACGATCCTGGCATCATCTTTTAAGAGAAGGAAATTCCAAGACAATGGAATGCCCATCGTCTCCGGAGGTGCTATCCAAGAAGCTCCTCGCCTATCAGCTCGGCACCAAGCAGGCGGCCAAGCCTCCCTCACCTCCATTGAGGACAAGTTACTTTTGATGTTACCCCTGCAACTCATCTCTTTTGTTCAACAAAGAAATGAAGTCACGCATACGTCAATACAAGTTCAAGCTTTTCTCTCTAATGGAGTGTTCACAAATGCAATCGACACGTCTCTGGACGTAGGCCGCCACTCTCATCGACACGTCTCCGGACGTAGGCCAAACTGGCCACTCTCATCGACACGTCTCCGGACGTAGGCCAAACTGGCCACTCTCATCGACACGTCTCCGGACGTAGGCCAAACTGGCCACTCTCATCGACACGTCTCCGGACGTAGGCCAAACTGGCCACTCTCATCGACACGTCTCCGGACGTAGGCCAAACTGGCCACTCTCATCGACACGTCTCCGGACGTAGGCCAAACTGGCCACTCTCATCGACACGTCTCCGGACGTAGGCCAAACTGGCCACTCTCATCGACACGTCTCCGGACGTAGGCCAAACTGGCCACTCTCATCGACACGTCTCCGGACGTAGGCCAAACGGGCCACTCTCATCGACACGTCTCCGGACGTAGGCCAAACGGGCCACTCTCATCGACACGTCTCCGGACGTACGCCAAACGGGCCACACTCATCGACACGTCTCCAGACGTACGCTAAACGGGCCACTCTCATCGACATGTCTTTGGACATAGGCAGAACACGCTCGGAGTCTCTTAAGGGGGACCCTGGCCCTCGCCCATTTCCTAAGGGAAAACATCTTACGGGATGCGCAGAACACGCCCGGAGTCCCTTAAAGGGGACCCTGGCCCTCGCCAATTTCCTATGCCCGGAGTCCCTCAAGGTCCAGGAAACATCTTACGGGATGCGCAGAACACGCCCGGAGTCCCTTAAGGGGGACCCTGGCCCTCGCCAATTTCCTAAGGGAAAACCTCCTACGGGATATGCAGACCACGCCCGGAGTCCCTTAAGGGGGACCCTGGCAATCATAAATCTCCAAAAGAAGATGCGCAATCAAAATACAGGCTGGTTACTCAACTAGTCCACAGGTCAATATGCCAATTGAAGTTGAAAAAATAACTGAAATTTCCTTAGCAAGCTGACCAACCGGCCAAGTTCAACAAAAGGAAGATGGTCGAATAAGACCAATTATTCTAAACAAGAAAGCATACTACAAAGTCAAAAGAAATAAAGGAGTCTTCATTTACTCTGAGACGCCAGCAGGAGATCCCTTATCTACAGCCTCTTCGGCATCTGCTTGATCAGCCGCGTTCTCAACAGCTCCACCTGCTTGATCCGCGACGTCTGCCACTACCTCATCTGATGCATCCTCCTCTGCTTCATCCTCTTCAGCTACCGCCTCTTCGGCTGCCTGCTCTTCAGCTCTTGCCATGTTCACAGCATTAACCTACTCACTTTGCACATGGACCAAGTCAGAACAAAGCATCTCAATGTCTCCATCTCTAATGCAGACTTGTTATAGGCGCCAAACCTAGCAAGAAGCTTGTCATAACCAAACGAGACGTCAGCATTCTTGCGCTCAAGACGGAAGTAGGCATCTTTTCGACTAACCAAGTCACCAGCAGAAGAGGGGGCAACAGCAGACGAGTTTCAGATAGTTTCAGCAGCAAAAACTAATACTTTTTTAAGCAAATGGAGTGTCGCTTCCCTTTGTTTTTCCAAGGAAAGACTCGAGAGGGTGCCAAGTTCGCCGGCCTAGCGGACGTGGTTAACCAATTCAGCACAAGTGGACGGGCTTGACAGAAAGTTCATCTTGAGTAGATCAGACACACATGCAACTCCTGTGGGGTTGGGCTTGTCAACCTTGGGACCAACAGCTGACGTTGCAGAAGAACCCTTTGCCCGGGCAGATGACTCTCTCATCTTCTTAGCCTCTGCCAACCTCGCCTCCAAAGAAGTCCATGAGGCATAATCAACTCCACGCTTGACTGCCCGTGTCTCAACAACCGAGCCATAAGCAGACCTCCCGCTTCGATCTCCATCCTTTGAATGATGCAGACGACTCGAACTACGAAGAGGAATATCTGCATCTCTTTGACGCTCGGCAGAACGGGATCGGGCACGAACTACCTCATGAAGCAAATCATGATTTTCAAGCTTGTCAGCAGGAGGCTCGGATGATGATGGAACAGACCCCACTTGAGTCTTCTCAGCAGAATTGGACTTTGGCTTCTTCCTCAACAGAGACACATCATTCGCATGCGAAGTCGCAACTCCATTTCTAGAAGACTTGACGTCAGCCTTCCTTTGGGCAGATCATCGGAATCTGGACCAATCTGCTTCCATCTCTCAACATCCTGGGCAGGGGGCAGACCACCAACTTTCTCCCGATACTTGCCCAGCTGACAAGGCCCGCAATGCATGAGGCCAAGCATGCTTCAGCCCAGACCGGCCCAACTTTCTCCCGATACTTGCCCAGCTGACAAGGCCCGCAATGCATGAGGCCAAGCATGCTTCAGCCCAGACCGGCGACGATAGGCAGTAGCTGGTCCACCTGCGCGCACCTGCTCTACCACGACTGCCGCCCACTATCAGCCGTCGCCTGTCACGACGACAACTAGTCGGACTTCCCCCAGCTAGCCTTCGCAGCAAAAAAGAAGAAAAGATGAAGAAAAAGAAATATACGTGCTCGACGTACCTTTGGATGCACGGCGACTCCTCTCTTCGACAAGCAGTACAAATTCTCCAAGATCTCTCTCAAGCTAGAAAGTAGAGAAGCTAAGTTTGCGATGTGAAGAAGAGTGAAGAGAAGCCCTACATTTACACAGGTTGGGCATCCTAGGTCAAGAAGGAATCGCAAGCCCATTCCTACTGGGAGCCTAACTCCAAGAACAATCAAAAGCTCACTCCAATTGGGAACCCAATCTGCAAAAGGAGTCCAACTCACTGAAGGAAGCCCAGTTACAGCTGGACAGCCCAACAGATGATTTACATCTCCTACATGCCACCACGCGCCATGCAGAAGCTGGGGGGCATTTGTGGGAACCTAATTAATTTGTAAACCTAGGTCAGATAATTCCTTCCATTTGGGGATTATTTGACCTAATTGGGAATT